CCCCAAAACCCCAAAACCCCAAAACCCCAAAACCCCAAATATGACTTCTCCTATTGAGTTTAGCACTTGTTTATTATGTTCAGAAATTCTTGTCTTGCTTCTTGATAAGCCTCTTGGTTTTTGCTCAGCGTCGGATCATTCAATAGCAGGTTATCAAACACTCCATCATTTAGGAACATTTTAAACACAATTGCAACACTAGGGATTCCGAGTGCTGCCTCAAGCCTCTTATGAGAGTATCTGTACAAGCATTCATAAAATATATCGTATGTCTTGTATGCTTCAGTGTTTACAGTTGTTGATCCTACAAACGATTATCAAATTCTAGAACCCTCCTTTCCATGATGTAGAGGTGGTGAATACTTACCTTCAACATATTTATAATGCCTCTTGATAAAACTTGGGATTATTAAGGCTAGAATGAACATTGCTATATCATTAAATGATACATTTTCAATGAATTCTTTGTCTTCATTCCCCTCCTTCTGAGTTTTAATCTTGTCTATAAAGTAAGTCAGGCTATTGTAGGATACAAGGATCCATTGAGTTTATAGAAAATTTAGTACCTCCAAATGTTGTTCTGGTGAAGTCTTGAACTATCGAGATTCATAGCTTATCCTGCTTAGTTTTAGTCAAATCATTATACTTAGTATTGTCTTCGAAAAGGGTACTGTAGTATCTCTTAATAGACCTAAGGAGAGTCTTGAACACAACGTCTTTTCTCCCGGATAAGCTATTGTTGTCCTTAGAAGCCTTCTTTCCTTTATTTAGATTTCCCTCCCTTTTTCTTAGTCGTATTTTTCTCTTTCTTCTCTTCTTTGGGTTTAATTTCCTTCTTCTCTTCCTTCATTACCTTTGGTTTAGCTTCTTTCATTTTAGGTTTGCTTTCTTGGGAAATTAGGGTGCCAAAATTTGGAGCTTTAGACTTTTGTGTCTCTTCTTTCTTCTTTCCTTGTGAATTGATGATTCTGTGATTTTCCTGGGTAAGCCAATCCTTTCTTCCACTGTTAATAGGAGTATTACGTTCAAATTTTGTAAAAGATCCTCCGCCTTTAATTGTATTAATTTTCTCCTTCAGTTTAGGAAACATTTTAGATCTTGGAGACAAGTCATCCTTGCTGTCTGCTCTATTAATTCCAATCTGACTGGAATGAGTGATTGAACTACTTCTTTCTGTTCCCCTCATCTGAGGTGTTGGCCTCATTATCCCAACTGGTCTTTCATTCCCAAACGAAGGAAGTTTGGAAAAGTTTAGTCCTATCTGATTGCCTAAAAACGGAGAGGTAGGAGTCCTTTTAGGAGTTCATGGGTTAAAAGAATCCTTTTGGAGCAAGCTTGGGGTTGACGAGTCCATTCTAAAATCCCCTTCAAAGCTTTCTCCCATGTTTGGCCCTCTATTACCCATTGTCATATTTGACCCTTGCCTCAACAAAAATAATGAAGATTTATTTTGCTTCTCTTTGGCTTTTCTTGAAGACCTTCTTCTGGTAGCACCTTGATTATTTAGTTATGATTCCCTCTTTAGCTTTCTCAGCATCAAAGAGAGGATACTGTGCATCCTCTGTGATCGAGAAGATAGAATCTTCATAATATTGATCAAGGTTATTATCATCGGCAGGCTTATTGTTCGCCATTTGTTTTAATTAATTTTTAATAACTTTTAATCCAAATATTCTTCTTTCTTTACGGGGTTTTGGGGTTTTGGGGTTTTGGGGTTTTGGGG